CCTCAACTGCCTTACCTCCATTTATGTCGTTTCAATCCAAAAAGTAACCTCTGACCTGGTTATTTTCTCAATCAATCCTTTTTACATTATAATCCTACTGAACTGAGGCCCGGGACTTTCCTGAGCCCCTTCTCGTTTATCAACTCCCTAATCCTGTGCACATCTTTCCACCTATCTTGACCCGCATAAATATTAGATAAAACAACAAACGGAACTGGATTTTCGGGCTCTAATTCTAGGATCCTCCGGGCCATCTCCTCTCCCATCCTGGAATCCAAATGCATCTCCGAATACCCGAGTACAGAAGCCATCATGGCAGCCGAATTCTCACTCGTCCCCTGGAGGAGCTCGAAGGCTTCATCCAGCTTTCCCGAACGACTGAGCAGATCAATCAAGATGCCCATATGCTTTGAACTTGGACTCACACCAAATTCCACAATCATTAATCTGAAAATTTGGAAACCCATGTCGACTCGATCCACGTGACTGCACGCGGAAAGAAGGCAACTGAAAGTAACTGAATTCGGCTTGATTTTTTCTCGGACCATTTGACCGAAGATTTCGAAAGCAAATTCATTCATCCCATGCTTTCCATATCCCGAAATCATTGCATTCCAAAATGCTGGATCTTTAGGTTTTTTATCAAACATATCGAAAAATGTATGTGCCCAGGAAGGCAGTCCGCACTTCATATACATGTCGATTATGGCCGTAGCCAAAAAATCATCATCAACGATATTTGTTCTTGCAACATATGCATGGATCTGTTTCCCATAATTTTGCGCGGATAGAGACGAGCAAGCTGAAAGTAAGCTAGTTACACACCGCAAGTTCGGTTTTATGCCGCTAGAAAGCATTTTCCTGAAGAACAGAAAAGCTTCGTCTGCTTTTCCCAGCTGAGAAAACCCGCCAATCATTGAGTTCCACGTTGCTGGTTCAGCTTTGAGCCCTACCTCACTCTCTAACTCGATAAAAAGAGCAACAGCCTTCTCACACTGATCGTGTAACATCATACCTGCTATCATAGAATTCCAGGTCACCAAATTTCTTTTATTTCCCAATTCGATAAACACATCATATGCACACTCCCAAGAACCGCATTTCGAGTACATATCCACAAGGCCAGTCCCAACCTTTGTGTCAAAAGTTAATTCAAGTTTCACTATAAGCCCGTGAAGCTGCCTCCCGATTTTTACACACTTAATGCCGTTAGCACAAGCAGAGAGCACAGAAATCATAGTAATT